CAGAGTGAGGACAACTTCATCCCAAGCTAACAAATTAACAGAAAGTGAGCTTCAAAGCAGAGGTGTACCTGGGATGCTGAGTAAATGCAAATGCAAAACCACTCTGTAGAGCTTTTTCCCAACAAGGACAAAGTACAATTCCTACAGGGGAAAAAAATACCACCACAAATGTCTTCACAGTCAAACACTGTAGAACACACAAAGACTTGATTCACTATGAACAGGAATGAGCAGACACAACACAGGGGGGAGGATTAAACATCTCAAAACTTGAGCTAATAGAACAATCTGAAAAAATTAAATTTATCTAAAATCATTGAAGATATTAAATAAAAATAGAAATCATAAAAGAAACACCAACACCAAGAAACCATGAAATTAGGGCAGAAAGATTTGAAAAGCAATCATAAAATCTTTTAGAAATTAGCAAAATAGGGCCAGCCATGGTGACTCATGCCTGTAGTCCAGCTAATTGGGAAGCACAGATTGGGAGGATTAAAGTTTGAGGCCAGCCCAAACAGCAAGACCCTCGTCTCAACAAACAAGCCAGGTGTAGTGTATACATCTGTAATCTGAGTCTGAGCTACTCAGGAGGCTGAAGTAGGAAGATCCCAGTGTGAGCTCGCCCTGTGCAAAAGAGTGAGACCCTATCTGAAAAATAAAGCAAAAAGGACTGCGGGCATGGCTCAGTGGTAGAGGGAATGCCTAGCAAGCACAAAGTTCTGAGCTAAAACCCCAATACTGCCAAAAAGAAAGAAAGAAGTAAAATATATAGAGCTGTTCAAATTTACATGTAGGATGGGTTTGACACTGACCAACAAGGTTGGAGAGAGACTAACCAAATGGAAAGACATACTTTAAGGAAATCACCAAGGATGGAGTACACATGAATAACACACTGAAAACTATGAACAGAGATTAGGAGGCAAGGGAACCAGCAATGAAAACAACCAACATATATATTTATGTAAAAGGAAGCCCAGAGAGAAGGATGGAGAAAATAGGAGCCTAAAATATCAGAAGAATTTTTGATTGAGAATTTTTCAGAATTAAATAAAATCTTTAATCTCAACAACAACAAAAAAACACTATGAACTTCCAGATAAGTAAAAATTAGCCCATAATCTAACATCTTAAGGTAGACATGCAGAACAACAAGGAAAAGACAAAAAATTTAAGTATAACTAGAAAGAAGAAAACCCACCCTTACCTAAAAAGGCCCAATGGAAATTCCTAACATCATCAAGAAATGCCAAAAGACAGAGATGCATATTACCTTTAAAGTGTTAAGCAGAAATATTTAATTTAAAATAGTTTGCACTAATATAGTCACTACAGTTTGTAGCTAAGCTATAATTGCAGAGTAAAGATAAAATTGAGACATTTCCAGACAAGGAGAGATTTTCTCACTGTTGAGCCCATCTGAAAGTAACATTAAAGGACATACTTCAGGAAAAGGAAATTGAATCCACAGGGGAGGTGAAATGCCAAAAGCAATTATGAACAAAGAAAACAGTGAATAAGCACTGATTTATTTATAAGTACAATATAATAAAAATTTATAGTAGTGACCACTATGGAGAGGTTAAAGACAGAAGGAGCTAGAATCCACGACAATGGATGCCGGGAGAGGACTACGGGCATTAAAATAGCTGAGAATGCGGACTTTGTTCTCCTGGAAAACAGTGACATTCTTCAACCTTAGGGCTTGTTAAATTGTAGGGCAGTGGTGAGGCATGATATGTTCTTGAGTTAAAAAGAGTCCACGTAAAAAACATGTGAGTTGTACTCAAATTGACCAATGAATTTAACGCAATTCCTCTGAAAGTTCCAAAAGGATTTTTCTTTTTCAATGTAAAGCAGCTGACGTTAAAATTTATATGAAGAGGTAAGTGAATTCGAATAGATAAAATAATTTTGAGAAAGAATAGTTGGAGGAGTCACAGGACCTAATTTTAAGGCTTCCTATAAAGGAAGGCTGGGCCTTGGACTGTTGATCATCACAAAACCCCTGCCACTTCCTACATCTCTTCGAGCTCGGGCAAAGTCCTAAGATAACAAATTACCATGAAGTTAGCTCCAAAGCAGTGATGCTGACAAAGGAATAGACACATAAATGGATAGAACGGAATAGAAGGCCAATTTTTTTCTCCTGTGCTGGGGCTGGAACCCAGGGCCTCACACGTGCTAGGCAAAAAACTCTACCACTGAGCTGTGTCCTTAGCCCAAGTCAACTTAATTTTGATAATGATGCAAAAATAATTTTATGGAGAAAAGAGAGTCTTTGGGAACCTTATTAAAAGTTAACTCAAAATGGATCATAGATCTGAATACAAATGCGAAATTGCAACACCTTTTGAAAACACATAGAGGAACGCTTCCTGCTCTGGGATTGGGCAAAGGGTTCTCAAATGTGACACCAACAAAAGAAAAGAAAAGCTGGACTTCAAAAAATTTAAGTTTTGCTTTGCAGATGATTCTGTTAAGAATATAGAAGAGATAGGCTAAACACTAGCAGAAAATATTTGTATGCCCCATATCCAGTAAAGAACCCAGAATTTGTAATGAGCTTTTAAAGTCAACAATCAAAAAAAAAAAAAACCCAATTTTAAAAATGGGCAGAAGACTAGGACAATTCATCAAAGAGGGCATATGGATGACAAATGATCACACAAAAAGGTGTTTACCATCATAAGCATTTATATCCACACAAAACCTGTACACAAAATATTTTTAGCAGCTCTATTAATAATGACTGTAAACTGAATGCAATCTAAATGTCTTTCAATAGACGAGCAGATACACACACTAGGGTACATCCATGCCATGGGATCCTACTCAGAAACAAAAAGGAGTGAATTACTGTTGCATACAAACTCCGGATTATTTCAAAGGTCTATGCCATTCATATAACAGTTTCACAAACACAGAACTGTAGTGATAAAAGCAGAACACTGGCTGTGGGCTGGAGAGTGTGACTCTGTGAGAACAGCAGGGCTGAGTTTTGGGGTGATGGAATAGTCTGTATCTTGATTGTGGTGGTGGCTACACAAATTATGAATGTGCTAAAATTTATGAAGACTGGACACCTGGTTCAAGTGGTAGAGAACTTGCCTAGCAAGCATGAGGCCCTGTGTTGAAACCCCAGTACCACTCCCCCCAAAACTGGTAACTACAGCATATTATTGTAATCCTAGCTAGTCAGGAGGCAGACATGGGGAGAATCTTGGTTCAGGTCAGCTGGGACAAAAAAGCTTTCAAGACACCATCTCAAACAACAAGATGGGTGTGGTGGTACTTGCCTGTCATCCCAGCTACACAGGAGGCATAGGTAGGAGGATTCTAGTCCAAGTCCAGCCCAAGGCAAAAACGTGAGACCTTATCCAAAAACTAGCTAAAGCAAAAAAGGATTGGTGGTATGGCTCAAGTGGTAGATCACCTGCCTAGCAAGAGTAATGGTCTGAGTTCAAACCCCAGTACCACCAACAAAAAAACTATGAAAGCATACATCATTCCCAATAAAAGTCAACTTTACCGTATGATATTTTAAAGAAAATTTTCAAATGTAAAGTATTTAATAATGCATACTTTCAAACCAGAAGGAAGAAAAAACAGGACCAAATAAGTAGGGCACTAGAAAGAGAAACAGATAAGCAATGGCTTAAGGATACCAGCTACAGGCCAGCAGCTACCTCTGGGGAGAAGGGAGAGGCCAAAGGGAAGATAATCACTTACTCTTTTTTTTTTTGTGGGACTGGGATTTGAACTCAGGGCTTCATGCTTGCAGAGCAGACACTCTACCACATGAGCCATACCTCCAGTCCATTTTGCTCTGGTTATTTTTGGAGATAGGTTCTCATGAACTATTTGCTTGGGATGGCCTCAAACTGGGATCCTCCTGATTTCAGTCTCCCAAGTAGATATCACTTACTCTTTTTTTTTTTGTGGGACTGGGATTTGAACTCAGGGCTTCATGCTTGCAGAGCAGACACTCTACCACATGAGCCATACCTCCAGTCCATTTTGCTCTGGTTATTTTTGGAGATAGGTTCTCATGAACTATTTGCTTGGGATGGCCTCAAACTGGGATCCTCCTGATTTCAGTCTCCCAAGTAGCTAAGATTACAGATGTGAGCCACCAGTGTCCAGCACTTCTTTCTTTTTTAAAAGGAAGTATCTGACAACTCAAAAGCCCATCAACAGATGAACAGATAAACAAAATGTGGTATATACGTTGCTGGAATAGTACTCAGCCATTAAAGAGTTAAGTTCTATCCATTTTTTTGTTGGTACTGGGGTTTGAACTCAGGTCCTTGCACTTACTAGGCAGGTGCTCTACCACTTGAGCCATGCCCTTATCCCTGAAGGAGTAAGTTCTGATACACGCAACCACACGGAGAGATCTTGAAGACATGATGGTAGGTGAAATAAGCCAGACACAAAAGGACGACTGTTGTCTGATTCCACCTATGTGAACTACCTAAACTAGGAAAAGCCACAGACCAGCAGGAAGATTAGCATTGACCTGGCGCTGGGAGGAAGCGAGATGGGAGAGGTTGCTGATGGGCGCAGAGTTTCTGGTCGAAGAGATGAAAACGTTTTGGATTTATATCAGTGGTGGATGCACAACCTGGAGAATGTGTTTTTCACCTCCAGGGTGGGTGCACCGTTCCTAAAAGTTCTACAATACCAGGTTGATTCATGGCGTGAACGGAGCGCCTACTTTCAAAAATACATTGAATATATTGTCCTCGGATAGAGGACGTAGCAGGTATTAAACTGGTAAGAGCAGATACCTGATCTTAGCCAAAAGACCTAGAAGTCAGGATTCAGAGAGTGACTCCATAGCGCTACACACTCCAGTACGTTCTAAGCTTCAGGTGTGCTATGGGAAGAAACCAAACAGTCAAAGGCCAGGGAACTTTCTGGAGGGAGAGGACAGCATGGCTCATGAGTAATGAGGCGTGCCCTTCTTCATCCCCCTGGTGGGGACAACTCACCGATGCTGACCGAGGTGTACTGGTAGGGCTCCGAGAGGAAGTGTGGGAGGGTGAGGATGAAGGCACCTGTAGCCAGGAGGAGACCCCCGATGCCGATTAGCCGTGGGCGGTGCACCCGGCTGCCGAAGTAGCTGACAAAGATGATAAGGGTGGCATTGCTGATCTGCAGAGAAAGCCAAGGGGCCCAGTGAGACCAGATCCTGTCCTCATCCACCACCAGAGGACAGCTGACCACACCGCCCAGAAAGACTGGAGAATGAAGGGGCTGCCCAGCATTAGTGGGGCCCTGGCAGAACCATGCCAGCCTTGCCCAGAGATCTGTGTCATGGGCCTCACATGGCCAGTCTCGACTTTCCCTCTGTCATCAGAAACCCACCCCAGCCTCCGCCTTCTAGACCAGCCCAGGGGAGGCAAATATCTGGATACATGAAGACCTCCTAGTCTAAACATCAATCATTTTAGGACCAAATCTTTTGGGGGCAAAATCCAAGGAAGCTCCAATCCTGCCTGGTTCCTTGGAACAATAAATGTTCCCTAATTAAAGTACTAAGTTTAACAAGGTCCTAAGTAAAGGACCCCAGGAATCTAACTTGGTAGTCAGAATAACAACGAGCAGTGTGCATTATCTCATTTAACTGTGCGACAACTCTCATTTCACAGATGACAAAAGAATCTTAAATAACAGGTTCACATGCATGAAATCAGGGGGTTCTTTGAACCAGGGTCGACTGACTTTGAAGTATCCAGGCTTTGCTAGAGTGGTCTGCTTCTAACTCACTGTCCTTGGGCCTGTTTCCACTTCTGTAAAATGAGGGACAAAGACTACAGCACCTCTGGATCCCCTCCTGGCTGGACACAGTGTGAACTCTGTGTTCCTGGTGCTTCTTGGAAGGAATGCTCTGTCCACCAAACAGTTTGGCCCCATGGGCTCCTTCCTCTCCATGACTCTATATTCCTCCATTGCCGCTTATCAAAATCTGATCTACAAGATCCTTTCTCTATCTCTGTAAATAAATGTTATATCCGTCTTTAGATCTTTGTCCACCTGTTCATTCCTGCCTCCCCAGCAGCTAGAACAGTGTCCGGCACACTGCTGGTGTTCATTTATAGGTGTTGAGCCTATCCCAATTGCTCAGGAGCGTCTGCAGCAAGGCCAAGGGTAAGAGGCTACGGCACATCGTGAAGGGTGTGACGTGCGTGAGGAAGTGGCCTGGTCTCAGCAGAGAGTTGCTCTAGCCCCAGTCAGAGGTAGTTCCAGGACTTTCTGAACGCTGTACCTGGAAAGAGAACTTTATTCTTACACTTCTTGGGTTTCATTTCTTTCCTTCTTGCTTCACTGTCATTTCTCAGGAACGATTGAAATGTCAGGCTGATTCAGCTGTGCTAACTGAAGCTGATTTGAAAAGGCCTGTATGCGAGGAGATGGAGGGTCCTGACGGGGAAGAATGGGTGCCTCGGCCACCCCCATCTGCAGAGGTGCTCCTGCCTCCCCTGGGGTCTGGGTGAGTTGGACCTCCTAGGTATTGTGACCTCGCTCTCAAGCTTTTCTTTAGCAGTGGAGTCTCTGAAGAACTATTTTTCTGTAACAGAAAACACACCCTCAAACTGCAGCTGTTCTAACTAAGGGAAGAGGGCCTCAGGCCTTGTCCATCAGTCTCAGAGTGCCCCCGGAACGGCTCGGTGGACTTTCTGGGAGGCCATTTGAAAGCTATCATAAAGCCCTTAGTGACACACCGCACCCTTCACTGTCTCAAATTGCAGGGGATCCTACAGTACTGGTGGCCAATGTCGAGAGGGATGGCCCTGCTTGCCTTATCTGCTCAGCCCTGGCAGTCCGAGTGGACAAGAAGAGCTGCTGCTTCCCCGATGGCCCGGCCTCTCTCGTCCTCCACACCCCTTCTCCTTTCCTTGAACTTCCAATTCCCAGCCTGTGCTCCTTCACCCTTCCCAGGCAGTCCGGCACCAGCAGGCCTTGGGACTGTGATCTGCAGCCTGAAGGCTCATAGCCACTGCACTACTCAGTCCAGACAGCTCACCTTCTCTCCCCAGAGACTCACAGATGTGGTTACACCCAGACACAATCGTTACCCACAAATCCTCAGTCACCCAAAGACACAGATACACACAGAAACAGAGTCACACACCAAAACACATGGTCAACCAAAATATTCAGCTACACAGATACATGCAGACCCCCACACACAAAGTGACACCTAGTCACACACACAGGATGGTTAGATCAGAGGAATGGACTGTCTGATGGCATTTGCCTGAACTCCTGCCCACATGCATGACCTACAGTCAGATTCTTGAGGCGTTCATCTGAGTTTGGAAAAGAGAAGATGTAATGAGTAATTATTTTCATTTTGATTGAACTATACCCCAGGGGGACTATCATTTCCCTTATTTGCTCAATCATCTGCCTGCTATCTTAAACAGAGCCTACAATATGTGCCAACTAGCTCCTCCCTGTCCTTTGAAAAATCTAATTGTTCCTGGATCCACATTTTTTTTTTAAACTGGGCAATCTGAATGATTCACAGAGTTCATAGATTTAGCTATTGTCTGAGCTAGGCGGGAAGCACGTTTACCTTTCATGCCAGCTTTGATTTTGATTACCAAAGGGGCTAGAACATTGTGTTTAGAAAGATTCAGAGGCTGTGTCCGGACTCAACAGGAAGGAGGACAGTGGGTGATCAGGATGCATACCAGGGACATGGGACAGGATCGTGCTGACACAAATGTCGGAGGTTTGTCTCCTTGCTGTCCTTCATGAGGACATGTGCCGGGGGCATTATCACAGTCAAGATTTTGGAGGGAAAGTCAAGGAGGTGCGTTCTACATCCCGATATGGGGAAACCTGCACATTCAGTCCACTGCTATGCAACTCCCAGGTCCTGTGGTCAGGGTGGTGCACACGTGGTCTGACGGCCCAGTACTTCCTGCTCACCTCATTCAAGCTGGAAATGAGACCTGAGGAAGAGCTGGAGAGCCCAAAGCGCTTCTCGATGGTGGTGAGGCTGCTCTTGAAGTAGGCACTGTACAGGAGCTGGCAGAGCTGCAGGAGGCCTTGGCAGAGCACGAACATCTGGGGAACAGAAAACAGTCCTGTAAGGCCTCTGCAAGGCTGACCCCAAGTGCCCACCCAGCCTTCCACTCAAGGGCCTCTGGGGCTTGGAGGCCCAGCATCCAGGCCTGTCTCCTCCCCTGTTACATGGGAACACTTACTTTGCAGGGTGGTCCTGAGGGTGAAATGCCATCATTATGCCACACAGGAAGCACTCCAGAAGTGTTAGCCATTCGTAGCTTTACCACACTGTTATTGTAAATAGTCCATAGGGAAAGTGATTCCCAAGGGAAAGGTCAAGCATCAAGGGCATTTGGCACCATGACTTGCTCCCTAACAAACACGTGCTTCTTCCTGAGCACTCCTGACCTGTCTGCATTCCCTTACTCATTCTGCAATGCCCACCTCTGATGTCTCCAATAAGGTGCCACGATGCCTGTCCCCAAACCACCTGTTCACATCCTCACCAAGCTTTTTATCATGGCTATCTTGGCCTCTTGTCAGGGATATCTGTGATTATACTTGTCCTCCTCTGGATGGATGATCACAGCCTTGGGGGAATGGACTGAGGCCATTTGTCACCTTATCCCACCTGGTCCCACATGTCTTACCTTGTGCACACTGAGTAAATATGAGCGAATAGAGACAGAGTCATATTAGGCAAGGTGAGAGAGAGATTTGATGACATTCTTGTCAGCTACAGGATGAGCTCTAGGCCCTTCTGGGTTCTCAGCAGATTGGACTACAGGCCTGAACAGACTCCAAGCCTGGACTGCCACATTCCCAAGGGCCCTGGAAGGTGTCCTTCTAGGTCATGCTTTTCCCCCAGGGAAGGGTGGGTTGCTGCTATGTTTCATAGTTTGCCAAAGTTTTTCCCTTAATTGAAGGACTGGCACCTCAGAAGCAACACGGGTTCCACCTTCATTTCCATTTCCCTCCAAAGCTGAGCTTACTGTTCTGCGGGAGCCATTGCTCCAGGCGGTGGGCTTTCCTACCTGCCAGAGCAAAGCCTTCATGAGGCCAGTTTGGGGCTTCTGACAGAACCCAGAATTCACTGCTTGTCCAGGCATTTATACTCACGGAGGTCATTATACCAAGGAAACCATGCACCTCTCCAAACTGCCACCTGCCTCTGAGCCTACACAGCTACCTCCCTCCTCACCAGGGACAGAAGAAAGCCTGTCTGCCTGAAGCCAGAGGTGACACTTCACTCCTGTCTCCCCAGGGAGCCTCCACTGTGTTTCATTTCATACCCTGGAATCTTCTTAATATTTTGTGATAAATGTATTTTTGAAAATACCTTTCTTTCTTTCTTTCTTTTCACAAATGGGTAAACTGAGATCCAGAGAGGGGGAACCTAAGTGCTCATCACAGTTCCTTCCAACAATAGACATTTTTGGAGCTTTTGGTGCTAGTCAAGTTGCTAGTGACTCGCACTTGAGATGCCCGGAGTAGACTGGGTCTGGGCCTGTCTCTCATTCATTGGAGCAACTTTAACCAGATCCCCTATCTTGGATCTTTGGTTGCTTCCTCAACTGTGAGGTAACTGGCCTAAATCAATGGTTCTTAACTCAATTTTGAGTCAGCATTCCTTGATAGGGGGAGTGGGGGTGAGTTTGAAATAGAGGCTAGACTCAAACCTAGATCTGCTGAATCAGATTGGTGGAATAAAGCCCCAAATGTATCATTTGGAAGAGTTCCCCCAGAAGAAATTGGTCAGTAACATGGATTACAATCACTGAGCTAGAAGATGCATTCGGGCTCTGACCATCTATGTGCAGAGTGTAATTCATAGGCCCTACCACGATAGGCAGAAGGGAAGGTAAGACTCTGGAACAGGCTCTTACCATTTCTCCCTGGGATTACAGGTCTCTTATCTGCCCCCGCCAAGTCTTCCACCAAACCACTCGAGAGAGAGCTCTCTCAAACACAAACGTGAGCACATCACACCCAAATCAACTTCTCTTATTGGCTTCCACTTCCTGTGAGACAAAGACCAACACCCTTGGTGTGATATCCTTGTGCTATAGGTCCTGCACCCTGCCTACCTCTTTGGATCCATACCCTGTTGAGGTCAATTCTATTTTGCAAAGATGGCCACACAAATATCTCCCATTCACATGCACCTCTTACAGTGTGGCAATGACACTCCATCAAGAGGAGGGCTGTGTGCTCTCCTCTGAGTATGGCCAATCTTAGTGACTTGCTTCTATGGAGGAGAATGAAGAAGACACGCTAGGTGACTTCAGAGGCTAGGTCCTAAATGTGGGCAAAGAATCTTTCTGGACCTTTCTGGCTAGGATCCTTAGAACTCTGACATCGCATCGAAGGGTTGCTCTGGCTTCCTTATTCATGAGGAGGCCACACGTTGGTGTCCAACTGACAACTCTAGCTAGGGTTTCAGCCCTCAGCCAATATCAACTGCCAGACACATTACCCAACGAGCCTTCAGATGACAATAGTCTCAGCCTTTGGTGCCAAGTAGAACAGAAATGAGCTACTGTGCAGATTGAAGATTTGCCAGCAAACTGAATGTAGTTATTGTTTGAAGCACCGAGTTTGGGGTTGCTTTGGCATACAGCATCGGAGAGCTGCAACATCTGTTGCCATAACCTTGCTCCTCAACTGCCATCATGGTTATACTCTCCAAGGTCCCCAGGGCACCCAGCAAGTTCAGTTTCTGAGCATTAAGCTCAGAAGAGATTAGTCGCCCTCTGTCCAACTTAGTAATGCATTAACAGGAATGACTAATCCTTACAAACTTCAGCTGTCTCATGAAAGGAAGATGGGATGGGGGGAAAGAAAATCTGTCTCAGATCGTTTCCTGAAAGATGTGCCTTTGCCACTTCCCGGTATTCTCCCCAGGGCTAATAGGTGGAGGACTCCAGCAAGAGTTACAGACACCTTTCCACCTCCTCCAACCCTTCACAGAGCCAAATTCACCACCAGGTGTTGGCCACTGCAGCTGTAGAAGGTCTGAGGCCCTCATGAGTGCCCTGGCAGAAGTGCTTGGATGCATGTGGGCCCCAGGTTCCAGGGGAGGCCACAGGCAAAGGGATCAACCATGTGGCTACAAGAGAGGAGAAAATGCCAGGAAGAGAAAGCAGTAAGTAAGTAGATGGATGGTTCAACAGAGATTTCTGCCAAGAGTCAATTAGGCTTATAGCCTAACTGGCCCCAAATCTGTTTTATGTGGTTGGGACCCTGTGACCATGACCTTGGATTCTCAAACTTCTCAAATACCCACTACATGACTAGCAGAAGATGGAGCAAGAATGCTTGACACAGTGTAAAATAAATACAAGCCCATGCCTTAAGGAGGGCACGGTGTCAGGCTATTTGCAGATGGATGGTGGACATAGGAAGGATGAGCTAGTTGGGTTTCAACCGTGTCCTGGGTTTTGATTGTTTGGGCTTGGGGGTCAAACAGGTCAAGGTTCAGATACTGATTCTGTAAGGAATGGTAGGACCTTCAAGAACTAAGGTGGTCATGCTGAGCTATTCCTTCAACAGTAAACAGGTGCTGTAACACCTGAGTTGTGAAGATTGCCCCAGAGGATGTGTTTAGGGCACCTGGCACCCTATTGGGCCCAGAGGGAGATTCAGTAAGCTGTGGCCACCCTCACTCTCTCCTTGTGCCCCCAGCAATGAACTTCCGTGGCAAGAGATCTATGGAGCAGTTTCTACCATGTGTTACAGAGAATACCACTTGCTCAAGATACGCCCTGGAGAAAAAAGTTTGGAAGACATTACAAAACTCACTCCTCCCTCATGAATCTCTGCAATGCATTAGCATATCCAAGTCTCTGAGGAGTCAGTTGTCTGCTTAGCTGCTAGGTGTGGTGGTATACACCTGTAATCCCAGGCATAGGTAGGAGGATTGCAGTCTGAGGCTGGCCCAGGCAGAAGCATGAGACCCTACCTGAAAAACACACTAAAGGCAAAAAGGACTGGGAACATGGCTCAAGTGGTAGAGCCCTTGCCTAGCAAGCACAAGGCCCTGAGTTCAAACCCCAATACCACCACCAAAAACCAAACCAAAACAAAAAACCTTCTTAACTTTGTCTTACCCAACTTCCCCCATATTTCTTTAACTATGTAACTCCACCACTACCACCACCACTGTTTTCCCCTCATGTAATAGATCATAGAACTCTCAGAATTTTTTTTTTGTGGTGCTGGGGCTTGAACTCAGGGCTTTCACCCTGAGCCACTCCACCAGCCCTATTTTTGTGAAGGGTTTTTCAAGGTAGATCTCATGGAACTATTTGCCTGGGCTGGCTTCAAATCATGATCCTCCTGATTTCTGCTCCTGAGTAGCTAAGATTATAGGTGTGAGCCACCAGTGCCCAGCTGCAGAATATTCTTTAGAGAAAGATAACATGCCTGTTTTAGGAAGCAGAATTTGAGTTCTGTGATTTCATCACAAAATGAAAAGAATACGAAGATTTATGACGTATTGGCCAGTTAATGCAGCACAGCATCATTTTCTACCTCCTCGCTCTACTTGACATTTGTTGCTTCACAGATTAAACCACACTTCTGATTTATCATTTATTGACATCTCCTCTCATCAGAATAGACTTTCTAGAGGAAAGGTGATGGGTGATATTTATTTATATGGCAGTATAGGGTTTAAACTCAGGACTTTGCACTTGCTAGGCAGTGCACTTGAGCCATACCTCCAGCAAGTTTTACTCTGATAATTTTGGAGATAGGGTCTCCAATTTTTGCTCAGGCCTGCCTGGACCTCGACCCCCCTATTTTATTTTAGTCTTCTCGCCATCGCTAGGATGACATGCATGTTCCACAATGCGCAACTTTTTCTGATAAGATGGGGCCTTACACACTTTTTGCATGGGGTTGGCCTGAAACCACGAAGTTTGGGTGACAGGTGCACATTACTGTGCCTGGCCATTGGTTGAAATGGGGGTTTCATGAACTTTTTGCTTGGGAGGGTCTTGAACCATGATCCTCCTAATCTCAGCCTTTCGAGTAAGTAGGGTTACAGGTGTAAGACA